AAAAAAAAATAAGAAAAAGTTCAGTAACAACTTTTTGACAGATATCAGTGAGACCTCACAACTGCTAGTATTTTAACTGAGAACATTAATTCAAAACAACGCCAAATTATTGCTGTAACATCAAACAATAAAATATGCATTTAAGTACGCGTTAAAAACAAAGTAAAAAAACTTATATATTTATACGTGAAGAGACTAACAATTAGGTATAATTTTACCAAGTCGATCGACAATCCACAGTGACAGCAAACGAAGTAACGAACTAATACTCTAAAGTAAGATACCACTCAGTTTTCTGCAGAACGTTGACTTTATTGAGAATTATCATGACTGCTTTTAAAAGCAACAATATGTTAAAACGATCTACTTAATCAGTAACCTGCTCTCAATGAGAAGCCAATCGGAAAGGTTGAAAATGGCGAATCAGTGGAATCATAACTAGTTAGAGTGGTCAAAACAATAACATATTCTCTAAAACGGAAAAAAAAAATAAATAAATAAAGAGTTGTTTGTGAAACCGTTAACATACCCCAAATCTGTAAACCATCTTTACTTCTAATACAAGTATTGCCCAAATTTTTTATGACAAAAAACCATCAACAAAGCTTGCCTTTAAACAGTTTATGCCCGATCATAGAAAAATGCGCCTGCATAGCCTACATGATGAAAAATGTCATTGGAGAATTAATATTTTCTCTTCTTTCGTTTGAAAATAATTTTTGTAAAAACTGAAAACAATATAGATCAACAGTGATAAAACTACTACCTTCTAGTGAAGTTACAAGAAATAAAAAAAAAAAAGGAGGCAAGCAAACTTGTACAACGATGGGCAACCTTTTGGCCTAGAACATAAAACAACAAATTGCAAAAAAATAAATTCCAACCAAACAGTTAGGTGCTCGATAATGAAACAAACACTTTTACTAACAGTTATCAAAACCTTCAAAACCTCCCTTCAAAATCAAAAAAAAAAAAACGTTCCCAAGGAATTTTTTAATGGTAAATACATACCACAAAGATATTGAATTAAAAAAAAAGAAAGAGAAAAGGATCATAGAACAAGAAAAATTGTGACAATTTATGACGGTTACGCTCGTGTATTATACAACCGATAATTGTACGGTTCAAGCAATTTAATTCCTTTGAAATGAACAACTGTCTACGCATCAATCATCTTCCTATAGGTAACAGAATCTAAAAGCTGAAGAATTATCACAAGCAACGTCAGCCTCATCATAATCAACAAACTGCTCGAAATACATCCATACAACATTACAGTCTATAAGAAAAATATATACTGCAAAAAAGTAAAAAAAAAAAAAAAAGAAGAAACAAGAAAGAAACAGTGATGTTAACATAAATGGAAAATATTCAGGACAATACTGTTATAGCAATTCGGATGTTCGTACTGTGATCGGATATCGTTCAGCGCCAATAATTTCTTTTTTCTTATGGTTACAGGAGAAGAAGAAAATAAAAATAAAAATAAAGAGGGAAAACATTTGAGCCATTCAGAAAAAAACGTTATGAGCAACACTAAGCAGGTCTTTAACCGAGTAATCATAACGTATGCTTACATATAAACGTTATACGTATAATACATATAGTATATATAATGATATAGCAGTGAACGCGAAATAGCATGAAATTTACAAGAAGACATTTTTGGAAATTTGGGACTCGAAACGAACTGTTTCCGCTAATTGCAGCACAATATTTAGCATCTGTTTCTATATTTTCCCCTTTTTTTTCTTCCCTCTCTCTTTCCATTCGTTTTGTTTTTGGCATCAGTGAACGAAATTTGCACCCGACTAAACCAACAACACCATCGTTTTTTTTTTCCGCCCTTTACTGTGTTAATGCTTTGTTGTTGTTCTTGTTGTTCCTTATTCTTGTTTCGCTTAAATCAGATTTGTTCGTTACAAACCGAACATCAATTTTATATACGCCATTGTGGTTGGCGATAAGTCTATATGTATATATACATCTATCTTCTGGAAATGTACGATATTTGAATAAGCGGCAGTAATAGCGGCTATGTTGGCGGTGATGGCGGTGGTGTCAGAGGTAATGACGATAATTATCACTGAAAAACCTTTATGTATAGTTGGTGGCTTAATACGCATATAACAGTACCGCTGGTAAAACTATAAGAAGGTGAAAGAAAAGGATTTTATTTCTCGGTATGAGGTTAGTAGATTTATCGGATTTTTGGCTGAGTATAGGTGAGTTTTTTTTTTTTGACAATACATTTGCAAGACTTTTTAAAATCTCCTGCAACTATTCTTAACACAGTTATCTCAGATGAATGAAGTGATATCTTTTTTTGTTTACTGGAAAATAACAACAAGAAAAAAGGTTTATTTTTTAAGTTCTACCTGTGATATCTTATGTATACGTTCAACAATTATAAATGTTATATAAGCATGTCCGGTTCTTTTCCTTTTAGTTTCAGATATGTCGCTGGTAATATCACTTCTGTTCTTTATAAGTGTGCACATACGTAGTATTAGTTTTTTTAAAATGGTATTATTGCAAGCACTTCTGGTACGTTCAGCCGGTCACTGCAAACATCAACTAATGGTTCTGATACAGAAAAACGAGGTTTCATTCTGCTGATTACTGCTATTCGTTTGTCAGTTTGTGTAACCACTACACCTTTTTGTAAACTA